GTTATGTGGCAGATACTCCTCTGTTTGAATGCTAAACACCCAGAGCTCTTTTGCTTCTTCATTTTCTATTACTTTATCTGCTTTGTGGTCTCACAAATTCTATTATTCCTTACTTTCCGGCATTTATTTATCAGCTTCACTCCAGGAGATCAAACTCTCTTCATTTAGATCTATTACAGCTTTATTTTTTCTTAGTTTAACAGAAAATCTCCCACCCTTCCTTTTTTCCTTCCTTCCTTCCTTCCTTCCTTCCTTCCTTCCTTCCTTCCTTCCTTCCTTCCTTTTTGAATTGTAAAAGGAGATCATCCTAATCTCCTGCTACAATTCAAATCACAATCTCCATAAGCCAGGGCTGTCACTAGATAGGCCCATAAATATTCAGCTGCACTATATGTTGTGGCTTTGGATAGTAAGGGTTTTTGATATAGACTAAGTTACCAGCTCTGATCATGCCCATGTCATATGCAGAATCCCCTGCTAATCATAAAGATAGTACTGGTCAGTTTTGACACATTTTGGACAGAATGCTGCAAGTGCAGCCACAACTCAGTTTTACTCCAGGTGTGCTCATCTTATGCTGTACAAGCTAGCATCTCCATCGTATCTTATGCTGTACAAGCTAGCATCTCCACACTACTGCTTAGAACCCAACTAGGAGGCATATGCTGTGCACTGACACACAGGGGTAGTTGAGTTTTCTTCTTGCTCAGCCTACGCTTGGTATGCAACCCTTGGCACATCACATTAAACTGGATTCCTACCCCCACCTCCCCCTAATACTATCCATCCCTGCAGTATGGCTTCAATGTTCTGTGAAGTTGTTCCTTTCCACAACAGTCAAATGGTACATGCCTGGTACCAGCTAGGAATGGAACGAGGTGACTTTTCTATGATTTCTACTACCTGAGTTAGTAATCTTAGGCTAAGCTGAAGGTTAGTTACTAATTAATAGAATATGATTTATGAAAAGGTTATTATTGCTTGCTGCTGAAGAATCCTTAGATCGTAGTAGGTTATCATAATCAGTATTTTTCTTGTCCTTTCTTCCCACTACCTGCTTTCCAGATATAGCCAAGTGCCAAAGTGGAAGGATTTTGCTGAAGTTCTTGTCTGCATTTTGTCACCAACGGGAATTGAGAAGATCATGGAGCCACAATCAATTAATCTGACCATTATAGAGAAAGCAGCAAGCCCATTTTATATCACTGGCTCCTCAATCGTCAGTGGTTTTACATTTATGGTGAGTTTAATATAGTTACTCCTTGAGCATCTGCTAATTTTCTTACAATAAATTGCCATTGATGTAGTAAATACTTTCTGATAAGCCCTGACATCCAGCAATAGATAGTGTTAAGCTCTGTAGCAGATGTAGATACAGATCAGTGGAATTTCTGGCATCAACATTTTAAGCTATCTTTCCCATAATGCCTGTTAGACTGGGAATGGTGGGTGTTGGCATTGCAGAATGTCTGGGTTTATCTATAATTTTATCCAAAATGCTCAAACTATAACTTCTAGGCTGTAAACCATAATTGGACATATGCAGAAGATTGTTCTGTGAGTATTAGGTATATTCAGTGGTTTTACTAATAATATTGTAATCAGATAAATATTTGGTTACATCAAAGCAATGAACACTGTGTTACTTTTTGTTTTATTCACCATCAACAGCTGCCAAACATAACTTCCATTCACCCTGCCTATGGTCCAATGGCTGGAGGAACAGAGATCTTTATCAGAGGACAAAACCTTTTTGTGGGAGGCACAAGGAAAGTGATGATTAATAATCTAGATTGCCCTGTGGACAGTGAGAAAAGGTATGACAAACAGAGTGCTTTCTTCTTGCTTCAGTGAATAAAAACAGGATTGAAAGGCTATGAGATATTAGGTACAAAGGAATGAGTTATAAAAGCTGCAGCCATAATTTTGAATTGTAATAGATTAAAAAACCCAACTGATAGGTATGACATCTTTTTGCGAAGATTCTGGGCCTAGCAATTTCTTCTTGGCAATTCACAGTGCCATTCAAGGTTAGAAACATTTGGACTCTTCATAGTTAAGGCATCCATACTTGAGCTGGGGGTGTGGGTGGGGAATGGACCAACATTAGATGGTCCCAGGAAGTGCATAGAAGAATCTTTATTCACGTCTAATGTTTACCCTGGATTCTTACAACCCAGGTATGGAAACCCTAATCAAGACATTGTCTATGCTGGGTTGTGATAATAGTGATCAGAATTCTTTACTCTCTAAACAGCATTTATATTATCCCAAGAAAGAAAATAGTTAAAGTACATCACTGCATTTTTGTATACCTAAAAGTAGACAGTATTTAACTTTGAAATATTTTTAAAATTATCTAGCTTCTAATGATGGAATAGTATGCTCTTTTTTGAGTTGTTATATTTATAATATAATGACTGCTCCTACATTTCTCATTCTTTCCAAATAAGTCATAGTCTCAGTTTCTGGTAGGAAAGCAAGTGAATTGCACAGTTTTTGTTGCAATGAGGAAGTAATCATTCATACCAATTATCAACCAACTATTACTCAGAATGTTTCATACAACCAGGGTTGGGAAGTGGGGGGCTGCCTTAATGCAGCCATGAAGAAGAAACGAAAAACTAGATCCATGGAGCTGAAACAAGATACAGAAAACAAAACTAAAACTAAAACTTATCCAAGTACTGGTTTCATTATTACACTACCAAAGAAATACAATGATCGCCAAGTTCTTAACAAACAAAGCCAGGAGCCCAAATGACAGGCATCCCAGATCTTATAAGATTTCATCACACTGTATTCTAAGAACAGACCTAGTTTTTGGGGGTGGGGGGAAGGCACAGATCAATTCATTTTTTTCATAAACGCTTGCCTAGGCTAATCGTGGGAAAAACAGTAGCAGTAGCTTCTCAAAGGTACAAAAACCAAGTATATTTACATATAGATATTATCTTATCAAGGACAGAGATACCCTATACATTATCTCTCCATGTTATTGCAATATTGTGACTCTTCCTTTTGTATAATCATGGGGAAGTCTGAATGAGTTTATCCTTGGGTGAATCCAGCACAACTGGAGAATGATGGCATACATTTCAGAGTTTCCTTTGGATACCAAGATACCATTACATATACTAAAGAATGTGGGTCTTGATACTGTCATGAAGATGATAATCTGACCTTGCATTCATAAGAGGCGAGAAGAAGGCAGCTTTGTAAGGCATGCCTCTTTATGCAGGCTTAACAATTACCACAGCTTTCTAAGCTCTATGCTACTCCCAAAGTTTATCGGGTAATGTCCCCTGATACTGTTACACTATTTAGATAGAAATATGTAGAATGCATCCTATATGAGATGGTATCATAGGACAAGACAAGGTCATCAGTATTCTTAACTTGGTACTGAACCCTCAAATCCTTCAGTCTTCATCAGATAGCAAATACCGTTAAACTTACTCAGCTCATTTTAATTTCTTTTTTTCCCTCTTTACATATAGAAATATCTCTGAAACGATGATCCAGTGGATCCTGGGTTGTCTAGTACATTCTTAAAGTTGACAGTATAGAACAACATTCTCTAACACAGGGCCTCGAGATGTATATTAGAATAGTAACTCTCAGAATCGCCAACTGGATATTTTTAAAGCTGCTTTTGCTGGGAATTCTGGACTGGCAGTCTCAGGGCATGTGGAAAGAGGGTTTTCTGGAAAAGTCTGATGCAGAGGAAATGGCTAAAAGATCTGTTGGTAAGGAGAGTCCTGTCATGCTTTTTTTTACCCCTTCTCCCTAGCCAGAGAGAGGAGGCCATAATTTGTACCACCCCACCTTCAAGCAACTTGACCAATGCATCTGTGTTTCTGATAATAGATGAAGAGCCATTTCTTTCTCCTCAGCGTTTCTGGTATCGAGAAGACCCCCAGATATATGATATTACTCCCCACTGCAGTTATGAGTAAGTCTCATTTTTCTTCTGCACACAGATATCCAAAGGACTGTCCTACTCTTCCCATGTACCTGTAAAATATACTTTTAAAAAGGGTGTATATTTGGGGAACTTGCATATAAAAAAAATCATAGTGGGATGTACAAATTTATATTTAAAAGCATACATTGAGAAGGTTTATGTGAGTTAAAAAGACCATCTGTGTAATAAATGTATATTACAGAACGTGCAAAATTCTCACATATCAGGAAATTTAATAACTAAATAAATCCAGATGTTTATTATGGATTATTTTTTAAGATATCCACAAAAATAACCTAGACTACTTAATTACTTCCTTTGAATGTTGAAATTGTTTTCTACAGAGCTGCATATCCTTTCTTCTTGTTGTGTCCCCATATCTTAATATTTGGTGAATCATGTAGCACTCTGTTCATTTAAGTTTCTAGCTTCCTGAATAGTTAAGATTGCAGTTTTGTAAACATTTATGGGTAATAATAATTGATAAGATTTCACTGCAGCTGTCTCATTCAATGGAATTAAGAAGAGTTTTCCCAGCAGCTCCGTCCTTTGTACCGAAGCAATTTCCAGTGAATTCAGTTAGGAATGCATCCGGTTTTAGCAAGGTGGGAGCTTCTGACTGGCCTTGTGCAGGCCTGTTGTTAGGAACTACGTTACAGTTTCTCATGAATAATGTTCATATCTGAATCCATCACTGACATGCAGCTGCGGAGTTCTTAGAATGTAACAGTTTTGCTCTTGTGTCACATCCTTCCAATTCCTTGCAGGGGCTCCAATGTCTACATTTATGGTGCCAATTTGGATTCAGTGTATAACATGAGGCTGCAATTTGAGTCTGCTGGAGTACAAAGCAAAGCTAAAGTGAGTATTTTCAGAAGAGAGAGAAAGTGAAAGAGAATTGTAGATATTTATTCATGAAGACTTTAGCTATTTACTCAAAAGGGACTCCCCGTGGATTTCATGGCAAATTGCCTGAATAAATGTGCTGCTTTGGGTTGCATTGCATATAAAACTACTATGAGAAGCTAGCATTCTGCATAGCATTCAAGACTTTCTTCACCTTAGTCATTATTACATTTACTGGAATTAAAGAATTCCCTTAGTGTGGAAAAGCTAGGAAATGGCTTAGTAAGCTATTTCATTAGTAACTTGGCCCAGGCTCCAGAGATTAATTGGTGAAGAATTTGTACTCTTGTGCCTAAGAAATTATAATATACATAGGGAGAAAATCAGCCTTGAACAGTCTTTCTCAACCCCAACAACTGTAAGATATGGGCCAATTCACAGTATGGCTAGAGTCCTAGTTGACCATTCTATTCCAGTTTGATATTGGAGTGGTATGAAAGAGCAATGATGAAAACAAGCTGTGCTCCATGTCATCTCCCTTGCCANCTTGGCCTTATTTTTGGGGAGGTCTTATTATTTTTGAGGTGCAGGAGGCAGCGAGTGTGGTCACTTCATGGCTGCTGCTGTATTGCAATATTTTCAGGGAGGGCTTATTTTGGGGGGAAAGGCTTATTTTATTACATGCGCTCAAAAGCCCAATTGGGCTTATTATCCAGGGATGTCTTATTTTCAGGGAAACGGTAGGTAGGAGATGGAGACATAATGCATCCCTCTCCCATTGTAACTAGCATTTGGGAGTACTCTGCCAACAGCCTGAAGACAACATTGATCTCTTGAACTCCTGACAGAGTTGTCCTCCATGCATTTGTTAATTCCTTTCAAAGTTAGTGGCCATCCCGATGTGTTGTGGAAAAATAATTATGCATGACCTGGGGAAAAAAAACCACCTTTTCATGTTTATTCTGAATCTTCTTATCAATTTCACTGGTCTTAATGTTTTAAGGAGTGTATAATTTCAGGTATGTTCCCACTCAGTCCAGATTTTTTCCAAAGAATCCCAAACCCTCTAATCTCTCCTCTTAAGACAGACATCATTCTGATTGCTCTCTTCTGCACATTTTCCAGCTCCTTTGCAATGTTTCTCAACAGCTACCACTGAAATTGTATACAGTATCTCTGATATAAGCATACCATAGATTTGTATAAGGCCATGACGGTGCTGACTTTTCTTTTCTCAAACTTTTTTTCTAGCAATTAGAGATGTGAAATTTGTTCTTTTTATAACTGCTGCACATGAAATTGACAAAATCCACTTTGACTTCCAAAATCCTTTTCCTGGGTATTTACAGACCCTTCAGTTTCCATCAGTTCATTTGTGAAATCAGCATTCTTTGTGCTAGCTTAAATGGAACCTTCCATATAGTTTTCTTAATTGGATGTGTTCTTTGACATTTGAATGATATATTTTCATCTACAAACTTGGCCAGCTCTCTGCTTATCCTGAAGTTACATTCATAATCTTTACATCTTTTAGAAACTTGTATGAGTTGCCTATTACATAAGAAATAATCATCGCTGCCAATGGATTGCAGTCATAAAAACGAATGACTGTTGGTGTTGACTTTTTCTTGGCAGGCAATAGGAACTTATAATTGTTCTCTTAGTTGCTGTCTTTCCAAGTGCAAAAAAAATATATTAGGGCTTAGTAGCTATTTGAAACTAGGCGATCTTCATTTCAAAAAGCTTTGCACCAATGGAGAGGTACTGTGCACCAAAAGATTGTTGCATGGATACAGCTTTTACTAGTCAGTTACAAGTAGCTTTTCTGTAGCTTTATCTGTTTGTACTACTAGTCGAAGTCTGCAGTAAGATGAGTTAATATTTAGCCAAACAAATTCTAATCAAGTAAACTTTCACCTTCACATACCATATACAGTAACCGCGAAGGGCCCATTAGCTAAATTATTTAAACTATGCAATAGAGGAAACCACTGAAATGTCTGGATCGCTCGTATATTTCTTAAAGTAGAATGATAAAAAGAAAACTATTTTATGATTTGTACTTTCTTTGTACAGCTAACCTTTTTATATAAAAGTAAAGACAAAGAGTGTTTTATCTGGGACCAAATTTTAGTTGTGAATTTTATTTAGAATAGAATAGAATAGCAAAGCACAGCTCAGCACAGCATAGCGTAGCATAGGTTGGAAGGGACCTTGGAGGTCTTCTAGTCCAACCCACTGCTTAGGCAGGATACCCTATACCACTTCAGACAAATGTTTATCCAATCTCTTCTTTAAAACTTCCAGTGTTGGAGAATTCACAACTTCTGGAGGCAAGCTGTTCTGCTNAGGGGCTGCATCAATATTTGGAAATATTGAATTTATTGAATCTAAACATGCTAATTTTACAAAAAAAAAACACCCACTTGGAGCTGTGTATATGGTTAGACATTGCCTTAATAATTCTTCGGTCCTTTGGTTAAGACTTGAATTACTTTTCACCATTCTTAGACTAATGAGTAAAACTAAATGCAAATTATCCATAGAATAATGATTGGCGGTGGAATGGTTTGATGAATGTGGATTTGAAGTTTGGTTCTGAAAATGATAGGAACAGCATACATGGCAGAAAGGAAACCTGCCTGGGTATAAATGGGGCTGGCCTGTGACCCTCCTCAAGGCAAGTGTGCAAAGGTTCCAGGATCAGAGTTTTGCACACTTGCAAAACATTCAGATATACTCTCAAGTTCTGAATGCCTTCCTATAGTAGTTCCTTTTATGGTCTTTTTTTTTTTTCATTTTGTATACGTTTGTTCAGACAATTGAACTCCTGCATGAGCTTGTATATTGACATGTATTAATTTGATGGAGTGAAGCCAGGTGAAAGTGTTCTGATTTCTGTCATTTCAGATATGTGAAAGGCCACGGTCCACAGATAGGTTGGTGTGTCAAAGTCCTGATTATCCATCTGAAAACAAAGTGGGAAATATTTATGGGAACCTGAGTGTCTTGATGGATGGAGTTCTGGGGCAGAAGACTTTTCGTATCCGCTTCTACCCTACTCCAGTCATTGATCTCTTTCCCTCTGAAAATCACATATATGAACTCCAACAAGGAGAAGATGAGATTGAGATCACTGTAAGTACGGGACTTCCCTATCCAAGAAATTTAGCAAGGAAGGCTCTGCAGCCTTAGAAGAATAAGAGCTAATTCAAATCTGTTAAACTGGTCTGGGATGTATGTACCTTTGTCCACTTGAATGGTTCACTTGCATGAACATTGTAGCATCAGTAACTTGGCCTATGCTGGTTAAGTCACTTAAATGATCTTCTGCATGAATATTAAAGTTTCTGCTCATGCGTGCTGTTTCAGAGCCAATAATCCCCTCTAGTACATTGTTGACATATGCATGCTTTCATGTAAGTATCTATTAACTAGAATTCAAGTCAATTCACGGTGTAGAAATTGGCACATAAATACAAAAAAATATATATTAGAACTCAGCATCTTTCAAAAATTACTTGGAAGAGATACTCCAAGCTTGGATTAGCAGAGCATCCCTGACTTTTCAGGTGTGTGTGTGTGTGTGTGTGTGTGTGTGTGTGTGTGTGTGTTTGTAAGCCTGAAATAAAAGGTGCTGCTGCTTTAAGCACAGTCATTAAAGTTCAATGATACAGCCTGAAAAAGATTGCTTTAGGCTGCTTTAGAGAAGACAGAGGGACTGAGATCAGAAGCATTTCTTTTTGTTCATTTTTGAGGCCTGCACAGCCCTAATGTACACTGTCGAGAGTAACTAATTAAAGAAAATGTGAAAAAAAAATGTAGTTTATAGTCCTCCAAGGGCTGGATGTTAGCTTGAAATAATTGTGACAAAATGCCTTACTTACAAAACAAATGGAGGCAGGGAGTTAAGGTAGTTTGATAATTTACAACACCAGTTGTTTCTTTTGGATTAAGAAATGTGCATGTGCAATTCAGCGCAGGATTATTTGGGACACTTGGTAGAACTGAGATATAAATCCAGTAGAAAATGCTAATGAGCAGGATTGCTCCTTGGCCATAATCAAGTATTTTACATTTCTCTGCACAGCATAAGGGACTGGATGCTCTGGCAGGCTGCATGAACATTTCTGTGTCAGTGGCTGGTGCAGATTGCTACCACAGTATAAAGAAGAATCAGGTGACCTGCCGAATACCCAACCACCTGATCAGCCCTGGGCGTGGTTTGCCAGTACAGGTAGAGAAAAAAAATCTTTTTAGTCGGAACTAATCTTATGACTTGATTTCTCCCTTTGAACCTCAGCCTCGCCCTTCTCAGCCTGTCCTGCCTACCTGAGTGTACTCTTATCCATTTATCCAATAGCTGCAAAACTCATGGACAATCAAGCATGCTAGAAACTATCAAAGATAGTATTTCCACACAATTTCTTTGCAACCCACTTGGATCTATTTCATTTTATATAAGTTTTTAATTGAAACTGAAAATTACAAAGGTGAAAAACAAATACAAACTAAGGAGAAACAAAAAATCAAAGAGGAAAAGAAGGCAGGGAGTGGGAAAAGGGGAAAATTATATATATTAAAAAAATTAGAGAGAAACTTTCCCTTTCCTCAAAATAAGTATAAACATTTTTAATAGCTGAACACCTTCTCTAATATTTGAACCAAAACTCTCTTCATCCCATATTTTATCTTTTATCAATTGCTAAATATAAACTTTATTTTTTATTTTAATCAGCAAAAGTCAATTAAAAGCTATGAGAAAGAACAATACATATATTTTAACTTTAAACAAGTAAGTCAATTTCATAATTCTTTCCTGTACTTTGCATGATAGATTTGTTATTTTCTCTAAAATTCTTCTTTTTAACAAATTTATTTTCTTTTATCAATAAAAATAAAATACAAAACAGAAAAACAAACATTCAACACTAACAATGAAAAAAATATTGTGTGCAAAAAACCCAAAAAACAAACAAACCCCAAATGTCTCATAGGTGTAACATTAAACATAAAGAATGTGGGATGCTGAAAAATAATAATAAAAAACCCCAATAGGATCTCCTCCCCTTACATAATGAATATAGAAATAGTTATAAGCTTTCCCCTTCCATATTTAACAAACTGCTATATTAAATAAACAAATATTCCAGATGTGGAAATCTCTGTCTAATAATCAAATCAACCCAACATCTAATCATAATGTATATGTAAAAGAAAATTAAAGCCAGCAAATTATTCCAAACATTACACTAATCTTCAAATTCTTCTGTTAAACATCTGCTATTGTATTTAAGATGTAAAAAGTCCACTAATAGCTTCTGGTCTTTTATAATGTTGCCTAATTCATTATCTCTAATCAAATTTTGCCAACTCTGCTAAGTCAGCCAATTCTAAAATCCACTCTTCAACACTTGGTACCTCTTTTTCTTTCCAATGCTTAGCATATACAATCCTCGCAGTAGTCACCATGTAAAGAAAATTCTCCTTCCCATGCCTTATCTTATATCTATAAATAAAATCTTTGAAACCTCATTCAAACTTAATCAAGAAAAACTCCATTAGGAGCTGCTAGAAACAAACTGGAAATATTAATCTTTAATTCCTTCAAATGATGTACTACAAATTAATTTATTGTCATCTTTACTTTATCTCCATTCAAATATAATATATTAACATTACTTTCTCTAAAAATACTGTAGAACTCTCTGCTTCCCATCTTATCCATAGACAAAGCTTTAAAACTTAATCAGTCCTAGTCAAGAAAAACCAATTAAGCTGTTAGGAGAGGATCATATGCAATCTAACCTTGATCAAATAGGCCCACATTATATATCTTAGTTTGTTTTAAGGGTCTTGATTATTCCTTTTAGGTAATGTCCCAAAGTGATTTAGTCTTTCCTTTGCTTTTCTCAGGAACTCCTTCATAGGTATAGCACATCTCTTTTGTAAATCCTGAGTAAGAAAATTGTTTTTAACTCACTTTTCTGAGTTAAGAACCATGTATTCAAATCATTCTTCTTATTTGTGTGTTCCTTTTAACTATTTAAACCTCAGCCAGTTTCATTTGTTAGTCTTGTATAACATCTTTGTCAATATCATTCTTATATCCTGTCAATTTTAAATCCATATCAAAAGCATTCTGATTTGTTTTAACTATATATCTTTTATCTCTTCTTCCATTTTTTATTGTATCAGACAATCTATTGAACAGGTTCTGGCCACACCATACTGTTGCCAAATATCCTTAAATTCTTCCAGAGCTAAAATATTTTTCTCTGTTCTGTATTAGTGGAAACTTTGCTTTAATTATAATCTAATTCTTTCTCATTGTCTCTAGTAACCAGTCCTCAAGGTCTTGTCTTACTGTATTTTTCTTTCATCCAGAACATTTCCCAGGAAGCAATTTCTTACACTTAAACTTGAATCTTAATATATTTTAAAAGGATTTTAAACAAACAACAAGAAATATTCTTTGTTTAAAATTTTCCAAATCAACCTTCTAATCACTCTTTTGCTGCTTATTTACAAATATATTTTTTCTTTTACGTTTTAAAAAAAAATACATAAATCTTCTTTTGCTGTGATTGGAGGAAAAATCCAGTGTAATAAAATTTGTCCTTCTGAAAACTCTTAGTGTCCAAAAACCAATGTAAAAGCCAATTCCAACAGAAATGATTAAGAATGAAAATGGGTAAACAAAGGGCTGCAACCACAGCTTGGCCAAAACTGTTTTTCTCAATTTTCAGAGCACCAAAATCTGCTGGAGTCCACTTGTTTACAGTCTCATCATAAGGAGCAATTCTTAGGAGTCTTCTGGGCAATCCCAAATCCTCTCTTCTCTGGAGAAGAATTCCTTCTAGCATTGATGATGTTACCTAGTTTGGTAATGAAACGTCTAATGAAACCACTAAGCTCAAGAGAGCACCAAGAACCCCAGAGGGACTCAGAGAATCGGTTCCTTCACTGGCTCTACTTTTTAATAGTTTGTGCACTCAGGATCAGATTGATTTTGACCATTAAGGCAATTTTTTAAAGAATTTATTAGTTATGTACACAGCAAATGCACATTTTGATGGCAGAATATTGGGAAAAGTTCCTGACTTCCTTTGATATTGCTGCTTAGATGCGTTTAGATGCAGAAAGTGTTTTTCCAGCCTGGATTCGCTAAAGATCCCTACAGTCCTTTTCTACATTCAATTTACTTTGTATCCTTAACATTCCCAAGCAATGTGAATTTAGACAGATGCAAGTCAGGAGACGATATCCTGAAAATCTCCAAAGAGTACTAAAACCTTTGGTTACACAATCAGTTCCAGCTCTCTGGCTTTCTGCACACACTGAAAAATGCTAACAGCGCTCATGTGTTCCTCGCCTCATTACCCACCTCCCAGATTGCCTAGCTGGAAAGCCAATTTAACTTTTTCTGGAGTAATCCATGCTGGCATGGTGTTTCCTCCTCTCAGATAATTACCACAGGCTATCTCTGGGAGGCATGTGGATGGGGGACATCTCCCCCAAGCCACCATTTTTTTCACATGTATATATATATAAATATATCTCCCCAGATTCTGCTATTGGTTGGTGCTAATAATCACATGTCTTTTTTTCCCTTGTAGATCTGTGTGAATGGAAACTGCAAAGACTTAGGATCCGTGGTTTCAATCTCCCAGAACTCTCCCCTTGCTGTTGGATTGGGAGTTGTTGTAGGCATTCTGCTCCTTTCCTGTTTGGTATTTCTAGCATTGAAATATATTCAGCGAAAGAAGAAGGCAGGTAATTGCAAGTTTCTTATGATACTTTCTGGCCAGAAAAGCACTATCGGTGGAGTTGTTTATTTATTCCATATAAATTCTTCACAGTCATAGCAGTACCCACTTGCATTTAATTTTGACACTTCGTCAGAGAATGGGCGTGTAGCAAATACGCCTTAATCACTGGATTCACAAGGTGAATAAGGAAAGAGTGGATAATGGACCAACTCTAGAATAATGAGGAGATGAATGTTGCTGGATCGACTTTTTGTTTTCTTCTTGCAGGAACTGAGACTTTAGAAAGGCTGTCCAGCCTCAACAGGGGCTCAATCGGAATTCCTCTTCTTCTTTCTAATACTGGATATGTGGCTTCTTCTGGTAAGAATTCATGACGGGACTTAGAGCTAGTATTTTAGAGCCAATGAGACAGAACATCTTGCTAGCCACCACTCCGATATGTTGTTAAACAAATGTGTTTGGTTGGGAGTTTTTATTATTATTATTTCTTTTTTTCCCCAGGGTTGACATATTTTCTTAAAAGAAATAATTCCTTCTAAATATTTCTGTAAATAAAAATACATTGCTCAAGAAGTTAAGTTAATGCCCTTAACACTGCCCACATTCTTCCAGTTACTTTGATGGGAGGAACCTGCAATATTTCATTACAATGAGAATATACTATCTTGAGGGTGAGGACTCCTTCTCCAAGATTGGTTTCTGAATGTTTCATTACGAGGTTAGGTAACATCTTCAGTGGAGTTTAGGAGAAGTCAGTGTCAGTGTTCTTCTGTTTAGGGGAAGTCAGTGTCAACAACCAATTCTACATGGGACAAACATCATGTCAATTAAAAACCGGGATTCACGAACACCAGCCGTCAGTCAAATGCCACAATCCCAAATCCTTAATCTCTACTCACACTGATACCAAGCAGCAGCAGTTCAATTGGAGCAACACAAAAATCATTGGCCATGCTACCCTCCACCACACTCGTGAGTTCATCGAAGGCTGGCACTCTATAAGCAATTCCATCAATGGATACATTGCCCTACAACCAACCTATGAACCCCTCAGAATCCAAATTAACCGCACAGCCAACCGGAGACAGGAACGGCCCTCAACCAACTCATGCAATTCCCCCCCACCAGAAGTTCACGTCCCAATGACCTTGACCTGATGTAATCTCCTTATCACAAGACCTATCACAAGACCTATCACAAGACCTATCACAAGACCTATCACAAGACTCACTGATGACTCACAGCTGACCCTCATTTGACACACCCACGCCTGAAGCCCTTATAAACAGAGGAACACTGACCCTGACATCCCCTAAACTCTGCTGAAGATGTTACCTAGCCTAATAATGAAACATTATTCAGAAACCAATTCACAAGCTCGGAGAACAAACCCTCCCCCTCCCCCTCATCCTACACCCGAGCTACAGATATTCACCACTCTTGCAGATACCTATCTTACCAAAGATTAAGAAAAGGGAAAAATGTAAGATGGACAATGAAGGAACTTTGCTTACCATCTTATTTATTTTAGAATGGCATATCCACTATTAAACTCC